ATCCAAAATCAGATCATAATTAATGAATATTACTATCTTCTATATACATCTCAACAATAATTAATGAGTCATGATAATTGTCTATAAATACCTCAACTGTTTCCTAATATAAATATTGATTATGGTTTGTAAGAACTAACATGTTCTGTATTTGAAACCACCCTATATATTTGTTTGTTTGGTGAAATAAAAAGAATTTAGAGTTAATTACGTTTATTAACCACGTGGCTTTTGGAAAACCTTCGATTTTGTCCTTATATTTTAAATTTACAAATATTTCATTGTGGTTTTGATTTTGCTTATAGTTTGGTTCTTGACCATAACATGGGTCTGTTAAGTGATCCTATGTACTGTGAATGTGAGGATAATTTGATCATTTCATTTATTTTTATTAAATTGTTTATTGTACAAGTTTGGACTGTATTGGAAAAAATTAATGAACTCCTTCGAGCAACGTCCCCATCTCTAGCGAATCCTCCCCTCCCTGCCATCTCCCTCCTGCATCAATTCATCGCCCCCATTCTCCATCACCATTTCAAACACCCACTTCACTAACGTTCATACACCATTTAAATCTCCCTTTACATAAACTTGTTTGGCAGGGAACCATTTGAATTTGTGTGATATGTTAAGAGGATTAAAATTGGAGCGAAGACTGCTTAAACTTAAGTACGCATCGTAAGCCATATACGGTAACAACTTCTCTAATCTCCTCCGACCATTTACCCTAGGTTCTTTGGTTGACGCCACCATGGTGCTAAGTAAAGTGAGATAGGAGTGAAGAAGAGGGTTAAACTTATATGCAACACGTTTGTACATTTGTAAAAGGGGTAAAATGACCAAATTATCCTCACATGAGAAACATATAAGAGCATTTAAAGAATCTAGTCAACGGTGTGTCAGAAAGATCGAAATCAAACTCAAAACTATACACAAAATCTCCTAATTATGAAATTTTAAGCATGATATCCAAAGTTTTCCGAAATCATAATGTGATTAACCAAAAAAATTATTACATAAAACATTTATGTGTAAAAATATGGAAGAAAAGCATAAGATGATGAGAAGAGGCAATGCCAAGTCCATCACATCAGCCAAGGTATCAAAGACTTAAAAACACTTATTTATGCTTTGTACCCTCTCTAAAAAGAAGGAATCAATTATGATGATTAGAAGGTTGCTTACATTTACACCAACTATTTTTTTCTCAAAATACTAACATATACTTCAATTTAATTTAAAAAAAACAAATATTATATATATATATATATATATATTATTTTTGTTTTATAAAGGGTAAATTGTATGGAAAAATAACGTACTTTAACTAATTCTTATTTTGGGTAACGTACTTTCAAAACTTTCAAGATGTAAAATTTCAAACATATAGGTACGTGGATGGTAACCAGTTGAAGCATTAACCAGTTAACATGATAATGTGGCGAGTAATGTGGTATCCGGTTAATGCTTTAACAAATAATATTGAGTTGGATACCACATCAGCATGGTAACCAGTTAATGTTTTAACCGATTACCAGAGTACTTAAATGTTTAAAGTTTTACATTTTAAGTACCAAAATGAAAGTTTTAAAAATACCTTATTCAAAATAAGAATCAAATCAAAGTACGTTACTTTTTTATGCAACTTACTCATTTATAAATACATTATGAAACATGGGATAGGATATTATTGATAATGAATATGTTTTATCTCATGTTTGATACGATATATATCTAATACAAAAAGTGATAAACTATTTTACAAAAAGGTAATTTAGTTCTCATGAGAACTTTTTTTTTTCTTTTCAATTTTCTATGTTTTTTATGTTGTGAAATAAAGTGGGGGAAAATATTTAAAGGAAATTATATATAAAATTATTTAAATATTTATTTAACATTTTCAATTAGTTATTATTCATATAGTAAATCTTCTTTTTGTGTCATAACTTTATCAAACACTAAACATAGGACTAGTTTTGTCAAATCTAGATTTATCATTTTTTTTTTAAAGGCAAAAGAAAGGACAAGGAAGAGAGCTTTGACATGGCCATCACCCTCACCAAACCAACCACTATATTAAAACAAAACAAATCCAGCAAGAAGTTAGATACAAGAAAAATACAAAGATACCAAAAACATGAGGGGCAAAAAGACGAAACCAAGACATCCCCTTACAAAACCAATGTAAAAAAAAAACCTATCCCAAACAGACGGGATGACTAAATCAATACAACTAAATAAAATAGGGAGAGGAAGACCAAACATCCCAATTAAGATAGAATTTACGATTTATGTTTCCCATCCAAAGCTTCGAGACATTTTGAACACAAGGGAATGGATCTTCACCTTTTTTCTTAGTTTTCACCCCATCCTCAGCATGAAGAATTTCGTTCCGCCACTTCCAAAGATGCCAAAGAGCCACAGCGCAAACTGATAAAAAAATCATACCAACCTTGCGAAGAAATCCTACTTGTTTGATCAGCATTTTAAAATCAGCCACCGATGAAAGTCGTAGAGCTTTAAGATCCCACCAATCCCAAATTTTCCTCCAAAGAATGTTTGCCACCGAACAAGAAAATAAACAGTGATCCATTGTTTCGACACATTTTTCACACATGATGCACTCCAAAGACTTTAACTGAATCCCTCTCTTTGATAGATTAAATCTTACGGGAATAGCCTCTTTAAGAAAACGCCAAATGAAAATGTTTACCTTCTTCGGAATTAAAGTGCTCCAAAAACATGGATCGTTGCTTTCACCATTCGAATCAGCTAGCTCTTGGATTAACTTTGACATGTGGTTTACCGTGAAAATCCCTCTCTTGTGCCAATTCCAAGACCACACATCCTCGCCCGAAGTATTAAAACGTGTTTGAGAGAGTTGTCTTTTTAAAGCTAGAAGATCATCTAAGCTTCTTCCTCTAACCGTTGTATTCCAGTTCCAAGAACCAGACCAAGAACCATTAACATAGGTCCATCTATCTTTGAAGACGGCGTTTTTATCCCTTTCCAAAGCATAAAGTCTAGGGAATATATCTTTCAGCTTTGACCCTTGACCAATGCTTGCATCTTTCCAAAAGAGAGAGTTAGACTCTAGATTTATCATATGTTATTTTTTTTATTAACCTGGATATCCAATTCGCTATGCGGGTCGACTAATCCCATGACGACCACCTGTTTTGCAGATAGTCCGAAGTCACTACATTTGAACCTCTGTGGCCACAAGGGGATTTTTATTCCTCCTTAGATTTGAACCTCTGTGGCCACAAGTGGATTTTTATTTCTCCTTAGATTTGAACTTGAGACCTCCTGGTACTTTTTAATCTTTGGAGTCAAGCTCAAACCAATCAAGCACCACCCTTATTGTTCATAAGTTAAATTTATGCATCAACACAAGCTAATCATGATATAAAAATTAACATTTTAATTATAATTAATAGATCATCGGTTTAAATCTTTCAAAATTACTGAAATTTTCTTAATTATTCTTCAAAGTCCCATAAAATTATTAGTCAAAATACAAACAATAAGATATGAACATCTACGACTTATATAAATTACTACTTTTTGCTATTTTAATTAAAATATTTGTAAAATCAAAGTTGAATTTTTTATGATGAAATCAGTATCCTTTTACACTTTCTTTTTTCAAATTAAAAAAAGTCTACATCAAAAACAACAAAACAAATCTTTACTAATTTATCATATTTTTATTTATTTACTTTTTTATACTTTTAACAACTGATTTGTGATATTTATAAGTTAAAAGTGAAACAAAAGTCATGACATATGTATATACATATCATTTGCAAAAATGGGTTGTATTTCTTTCCTTTGTAAACATAACCTTAACTTGTTTCGCCCTTCTATACACGGCGATAGCTATTTTATCGGGTCCAATCCAACCCAATTTTGACGTAAAACAAATACAAGTATACAACTTAATTACCTAATTGTTTTTGAAAATATCATTCAGGGGTTGTTTATTTACTTCTTAATAGTTTCATTAAGAGACAACTTCTGAATTGCTAAGAGTTGAATCTTGTTTGACAAAAAAAAAGTCTGCCTCCTAATAGTTCTAAAACACTTTGAATGATTTTGTATCGTGAGTCTTCCTTAACCATTCAGTGCATTAATTTCATAGTAAACAATTACCAAACAATTACATTTCATTTTGCATTATATCATAAGAGCCTCTTAATCATTCTAACTACTTAATAATTCTGCACAAAACCATTCAACAACTGCCAAACAGTTCCTCAGAGAGTTTTAGAGTCGTTAAGAGACATATTTTTTTTTTTTTTTTTCAAACAAGATTCACCTCTTAACGATTCAGAGACTGTCTTTTAATGAAATTATTAAGAGCAAACAAACAACATCTTAATTGAAAAGATTAACTACAATATTAATTAGATTAAAGGAAGTACGATGTAAATGATTATGAAGAATTAATTTGATGTATCCAAAATAGTATGACTAAAAACTTGTGCCCCAAAAAGAAGACAGGACAAGGAAGCAACCAATGAGAACTCGACAACACATCTGTCTTAAACCACTCTGGTTTTAGATCCCTTTCTTAAACAACTGTTCCCCCTCCTCTTCTCTTTCTTCCTTATTCCTTCTACGTATTTCAACACTAATTATAATATACGAAACTCAAAATTTTAATTTATTTTAATATAAATTTACTAAATTTGTTTGTTATGGTTTAAAAACTGATATAAAAAACGTAAAAATACTGTGAGAAAGTAGAAAAATTCAATTATTGAGAGTATATATTTGAATTTGTTGCAAAATAAGTGTAAAATAATAACAGTTTTATTTATAAATGGTTAGGAAAGAGATAAAGAGGGTATGATAAGGAGGCTAATAATATAATGCATACACCAAAATAGAAAGAATGCTACAGAAAAACATTCTACTGTGTCTTGGTGGGTCGTCTTCTTCTTAGATCGTCTTTTTCGCTCCAAAAGCAGCAGGTTCTATTTAGGGTTTTACCCAAAAAAGATCGATGGGAAGAGGAAGGGTGCAGTTGAAACGGATCGAGAACAAGATTAGCAGACAAGTGACATTCTCAAAGAGACGAACAGGTTTGCTCAAGAAAGCTCATGAGATCTCTGTCTTATGCGATGCTGATGTTGCTCTCATCGTTTTTTCCACAAAAGGAAAGCTCTTTGAGTACTCTACTCACTCCAGGTAAACCTTATCTTCTTCCTCCTATTTTATCAGTTTAAAATACATGCACAAGGTTAAGGTTAAAGGGTTTTTCATTGCTTGAGATCGATCGGTTTATAAGTAATAAAATTGATTTTCCGTATCTATGTATATATATATATATATACATACATACGTGTCTGTATGTATATGTCAAGATTTCAAGTTCTCTTGTTCTTGATTTTACTTCGTTTGTTCTTGATTTTACATACGTGTCTGTATGTATATGTCAAGATTTCAAGTTCTCTTGTTCTTGATTTTACTTCGTTTGTTCTTGATTTTACATACGTGTCTGTATGTATATGTCAAGATTTTTAAGTCCTAAATTCGAGATTTTTTGGGTCAAACCCTCTTGATCTTGTGTGGTTTCTTGGATTTTGTTTCTCTTTTTGTTGGGTTATTCTGACACAAAAATCCTTTGAGTTTTCTTCTCTTTCTCTCTCTCTCTCCTTCCTCCTGCATGCACCTATTTTTATATACATATGTATATGAACTCACACATCATAATATATTACCATATGTGGTCTTACCATGAAACCCCTTTGCTTGGATTTTATTATTTATTTTTTTCTGGGTCGTATACTGTTTTATTTGCTCGAAATTGTTTCTGAAAAAGCTTAATTTTGACTAGTTGTGTAAGAAGTAAACCAAAGCGCATGTCATGTTGGAAATCTCAGAGTTTTCTTGAGCTGTGCGCGACGTACCAGCTGCTTAAATTGCTATCTATCACATCCTTAATATTATTATCGTACTAAAATTATATTCTTCACACAGATGAAGTAAATACTTAGGAAACACTACTTTGTTCGTACATAAACAAAACAACACAACCTGGTACTCACAAAACTAAAGGTTCAAAAGTTGACTAGCTTAGCTGTTAAGTTGAGTGGTGATGATCTAGTTTTACAGATTTCTATATGTTCAGGCCTAGATTATTGGTGTCTGCCATAAGTTTCATTCAGCTACCAATACATCAATTAAGGTCAAGTCTTTGTATAGTACCTAATCTTGGTCATGTTGTAGTCTGCAATGGTTCCCATAGCCTGGTATCTGGTGCTGGATTTTGGGGTTCATTGTGACTTAAAAATTTGTCTTTTGGTTCTATACAGTTTCATCAGAGTTTGTTCATCTTCTTCTCTTTTAAGCTCAATTGTGCAGGAATTAGTTAGGGCTTCACCAAACCTCTACAGATTGAGTCTATATGGTGATTTAGATGTACCCATATCATGTGAAATTGATTGCAAGAAGGTGTTGGCACAAAACCCCTTTTCATGCCCATTTGATACGCAACAAAGAAGGAATTTCTTTCACCAAATTTGAATATTAATTAGTTATCATTATCAATGGAGAAGGTTACATCAAAGGTTAGCATTAATTAAAGTAAAATAAGTATTGAAATTACTTCTCTTGCAAATAATGTTCATAAAAATTGAAGATGCCATTTTTGTTCGTTTCGTTTTTGAAGACGAAAATACACACAAACAAGGCTTGAATTTGCAGCGATGATTCAAGTGGTCGGTCGTTTATACTGTTTTGTGTCAACTTCAGACATTACTCACTCACTCAGTCTTTCTTCATTTAGAATATATTCTTGAACCATTTTATCAAACACAGTTACTCTCTAATCTGGAGTATTAGATGCAAATAATGTCGTTTTTTCTGTAAATTATGGCTTATAGATATATTTTAGCATGACCCTCGGTTATATATTTGGTCTCGAATTTGTTATATATGTTTCGGTTAGTTTTAATCTTGACATTAGTATTACTTCAAATTATATGATCAACATTGAAATTTCAAGTTCATTTGAGGATTTATATGTTCAAATTGATCATACTCAGGATGTTAGAATTCTTGGTGTGTCGTTTCGATCACTTAGACACGTTCTATGGATCATGTATCATATACACTTTATTTTCAAATACAATATTTCGACCCTTGATAAGCCTTGGTTGCACGAAATATATATGTATTGAGATAATCTAAATCTCATTCTCGTTTTTTAGGTGGAAACTCGAGTATTCAACCTTAAGATTGTCCTATGTTATGTATATATATATTTGAGAACCACAGTTTACAAACCCGTGAGAACCGATTTAAAAATAATCTTTTACATGATTTTTTTTCCATCAAATGTTAGGATTTAAAATATTGCTTCAGATATATTTGTATCACAATGTGATGGTCTCACATGTATTTGTTTCACTATGTGGATATTTTTTACCTGTACTTTTTGTTTCACTATGTGAATGTTTTTTACATGTATTTTTTGTTTTACCGAGTGAACTAAAAAAAGCTTCGTGTGTAATTTTTTCACAAGGTGAACACCAACATATGTGAAATAATATTTAAATCATACATTTTGATGAAAAAAATGTAAAAGAACATTTCAACATCGGTTATCACGGGTTTGTAAACTTTTTGTGGTTCTAATTTGATTATATATGGAGGTTCAAACGAGAACAGTAACAAAATAAGATAATACAAAAAACGTTCAAATCACATGCAAAATAACATGTGATTTTACACTAACAACCAATGTAAGGGTGTGCGAGCGACATCGCCTGCGACTTAAAGTCGTGTGAATTACATGTGATTTTATACGTGATTTTAATGTAAAATCACATGTGATTCTAGTGTAAAATCACATGTGATTCAGCTGTTTTCTTATTCTCTTATTTTATTATTGTTCTCGTATCAACCTGACTCTCTTTCTCTCTCTCTCTTTATATATATATATATATATATATATGTGTGTGTGTGTGTGTGTGTGTTGGGGGGGGGGAGTTAGGATCACGTGAGGCCCGTGAGACCACAAAATAACATTGAAATTTCACAATAGAAAATTGTGAAGACACAAAAATTTCTGAACATTTACAACAAAAACAATGTTTACTTCACCGTATTTTGTTGTGAAAGTTTAGTGTTATCACGAAAACAGTCTGGACTCACATAATACCAAGTGTATATATATATTGTTTATGTGTAATTTTTACAGTAGTCAATAGAGGTATGGGTGGTTACAGAAAAGATTAAAACTGTGACTGCTATCAACAACAGATGGTCATCAGTTGGTTTACCAATTAATGGTGCAGCAGATGAAGCTGCCGATAATGTTGACGGTTATGAAGTAATGAGCTATCAGCTCATACTGACACTAATGCCTTTGTTTCAACTGCCTCTAATCCCTATTAGATACAATTGGCACTGTCACTGAAGTAAATCGTGAAGGACGTAGAGAGAGTAATTCATTATATATCGTTCTGGGACCACCGTGGAACCCCGCCAAGGTCCCTTCCCCTAGAACACCGCTAGGGGTTGCCACCCCCTTGTCTTAATGGTCAACCCTAAATCTTCATATATCTCAAATCAATATCAATTACACAAAAATGCTTGATCATAGGACTGGGTTTAAGGTTTCTATGTAAACCTTGGCACTGATTTAATTTCAAATCGTAATATTCAAAGTAAATGATGTCTTTCCAAAACTTCCGTAATGTTTATCAAGAAGATAGTTTTTTGTTTTGTTTTAGGATTGTTTGTATATGGTATTATCAACCTAAACCAATGCCTATAACTTGATCACATCTCTTGTTGGTTCTTCAAGCACATGCATGGTTAAGCACTTTTTATAACTCATACATATGTCTGTAGAAAGTCAGATGTTTTTGAGCATCATCATCAATAACATCATATCACCCGTGAAGAATAGTCGGGTCTCTTACAATTACTTGTTATTGAAAAAGACTCGGATAATTTGTTTATGTCCTTAGAGATAGATAATAAGCATAGTAGAGTGGAGATTGCAAGAAAACTGGCAAAGAGAATCCTAATCTAAATGGCATAACCATCTCCAGAGTGCCAAAAAATGTGTTACTCCTAGTCTTGTTCTGTGTGATGATGTTATTGGAGCTTATTGAACCTATGAGGTTTTACGAAATGAGACGGATCGTATGGGCATACTGACTTAGGGGATGTTTGACAATTACTGAATGATTTGGTGCAGAATGATTAAGAGGCTCTCATGATATAGTGTAAAATGAAATATAATTGTTTGGTAATTGTGTATGATGAAATTAAGGCTCTTAATGGTTAAAGGAGATCCATGATACAAAATCATTCAGATGGTTTTAAAACCATTAAGAGACAGACTTATTTTTTTGCCAAACAAGATTCACCTTTTAACGTTCAGTAGTTAGCTCTTAATGGAACTATTAGGAGGTAAACAAACAACCCCTTAATAAGAGACGGGAATGAGCAAAATGATCTGATGAGAGACATCGGCATGCCATTTGTTGTATAGTCTCAACTCGTCTAACTTGGAATATGGAAAAGGCTATTTGAGGAGGGAGTCGATATTATTCACAACATTCATTATGCCCTTTAATGGTAGTTATTTACATTTTCCGATTATTAATAAAATAATATAATTATCTGTAGGAAATGCGATAATGTAAATTAGGGTAAGGAGCCAATGTAGGGAACGCATTGGGACCCAACTAGGGTCGGCCAATCTAATGATCTCTAATTCTAGTTAGCTAATATGAGTATGCGTTCTAAACCTCTTTGTCCGTATTATAGCTTAACTAACAACTCCATAATTCTCGTGTGAATCAAAGTAGCCTCATGATTTCACTAAAATGATCAATAACCCTTAAACGTTAGGGCCATCAGGATTGGTTTTAGTACATGCAAATTGGTCCAAACACCCACTACAGACCTCCTGAAAAACGTATCTTGAAGTGAAGAAAGATTGGTACCGACCTCTTGTTTATAAAGAAAACGGTGGTCGGTTTTGAAGATAGTTCCTCAGGTGTAGCAAGAGAGTTTGACCTCCCAACTTAACACTAGCTGGTTAATTTAAGCTCTTATTGCCTCGATCGTTAAGCCTAGAATTATAGGACCTTCTATGAAAATCACTTTTATAAACTGACGCTCTAATATTTTTATAATGTTTTACAGAGATATGGTCTTTAACACTAGAGATACCAAAAGCATCACATGTAAATGAATGTTGTATTTGGGGACAAATTTGATCACGGGAAACCAGCCGTACACGTAGCGTTTGGTTCGCAGACATGATTGGACTGGACCGGATAAAACTGGATAAGACAAGATGGTAGGACTGGACGGGACGGGACTAAACAAGTGTTTGTCTAATGTTTAATACGACTAAGATTGGACAAGACAAAACTAGACAAGTTGCCTCCAAAGATTATTTGATGATTTTATATATCATATAATAATTATTATTATCACAAATAAAAAGTAAATAATTTAATTTATAAACATTTTTACACAATTTTCATATACATAAATACATATATACATATACAATAGTACCAAATTTGAATGAAAAAAATTGATAATTGATGGTAATTTGAAAAAATCCAATTCATAGAATAGAGAAATTATGTTTTATTTTGTTTGGAAGATCCTTACCAATTGGCGAAAGCATGGTGAAGATTGTTGCAACAACAATGGTTGTGGAGGTAGATTCATTTGTGATTGGAGGATGGTGGTGGTTGTGGAGGACATGAAGATGGTAGATAATGGTAATGGTGGCGGTCAACAGCAGTAGAGGAGGCAGTTATAGATGATATGGTGGAGGTAGTGGTGGTGGTCAACAGCAGTAGAGGAGGCAGTTATAGATGATATGGTGGAGGTAGTGGTGGTGGTCAACAGCAGTAGAGGAGGCAGTTATAGATGATATGGTGGAGGTAGTGGTGGTGGTGAGCAACGGTGGTGGTAGTCGACGGTGGAGGTGGAGGTGGTGTTTGTTATGGTAGTCGTAGCCAATGATGGTGTCTGACGGAGTTAGTGCATGGTAGCCGGTGGCTGTGGTGGGCAGTGATAATGGTAGTCGATGGTGGAGGTGAGGTGGTCGATGGTCAATGGTCAATGGTGGTTGTGAAGGTGGTTGTTGTAGTAGAGGAGAAGGTGGCCAATGGTGGTAGTGGTGGTGGTCGATGGTCAACAGTGGTTGTGGAGGTGACGATAGACGGTGGTGGTCGATGGTTATGGAGGAGGAGGTGGAGGTGGAGGTGGCCGAGCTATTAGTGGTGGCGGTGGCCGCGACTAGCGGTGGTGACCACTAAAACAAATATCATATGTTAAGTTTATATATCAAACGAGGGTTTAGTAATATTTTAGCTTCTGTCTTATTCTTGTCCCATTTTGTTCCACCTATTTTCGTGGAAGAAGAAAAAGTTTTTCTGTCCCACATAGTCTCACCTTGTCCTAGTTTCTGTCCATGTCCCATGTTGCATCAAATATGGGACATGGAGTTCTTGTCTTATCCCATGTCATGCCAAACTTGGGACAGTGAGCTTTCTCCTGTCCTATCTTGTCTTGTCTCATGTACCAAATGCAACTACTTGGAACCCGTCTCCATAGACATCAATGTGAGGGGGTATTTTTTGGCTCACTCAGCGATGGATGCTAGCAGGGGTGGGATCGAATCTAGACGTGTCTTATATTTAGACAAATTCGTCTCATCCCTTTGCCAACTGAGAAATTAAAGTGCTACTTGTTCCAAATAGTATCAAAACATTAGTTCTAGCAGATCGGTTAATTTAGGTACCTTAAATATATAGGACCTCGTTACTCTCGTAGAAACCACAATTGTTGAATCGTTTTGCTGCGACGTTCATAAATGGTTCAAAATATTTAAGCTAACAGCTTGTAGTTGTAGTTTATCCTAAAGGTTATAGACTCAGCTTTCATGTTTTTTAAGAAGGTTGTTTATCATAATTTGTATTTAATCAACAGCAAAAACTGTTGAAAAATATGTGATCATGTGTATAGACTGTGACTGTTGTTCAGTTGAAACATGTAGTATGGAGACAATTCTTGAGAGGTATGAAAGGTATTCGTATGCAGAGAAGTTGCTTACTGCTCCTGAAACCGAAACACAGGTACGTACGATCATCATATCCATGCTACGCATGAATATATGTAATTTCTGTCATCATCGTTGCGGTCATCATGAAAACAACCTCTCTACTATTTGGGATAGATGACGGTTTTGCATAAATCTCACCCTCGGACGATCCATATTGTCCCTACCATGCATTAGATGAACCTGCATCCTAATTAATTGTCTAATTCTCGTATATGTTCTTGAGAATGTGTGCGTGTACAGGCAAGCTGGACTCTTGAATCCTCCAAGCTTAAGGCAAAGATTGAAGTTCTTGAAAAAAACATAAGGTTAGTTGTTAAGAACCATCAAATAGGATTTAACTGACATATTCTTGGCTAGTAATTAATGAATTAACCACCAAATGGTGTGATCTGATTATATATATAATCATGTATGTATAGGCACTATGTTGGGGAAGATCTGGAGCAATTAAGCCTTAGGGAGCTTCAAAATGTGGAACAACAACTCGAGACCGCCCTTAAGCGAATACGAACAAAAAAGGTAACTGGGTCAGATCTTCTACACAAAATATATGAACCTGACCCTATACATATATAGACCATCTCACAATACCCTTTATAATTTATGCAGAACCAGGTCATGCACGAGTCCATCTCCGAGCTCCATAAAAAGGTAACCTGTAATCTCACCTTGAAACGGTTCGAGTCATGGAAACAACTTGCTTACGAGATGCAACGGATCATATCAGAATAGCATAAGTGTTTGATGAACTGAAAACACATACATTGACAAATCTTTCTGTCTTTATGTTGTAGGAGAAGGCGTTGCAAGAGCGAAACAATTCACTCTCGAAGAAGGTATAACTTGATCTGTAATTCTTTACCATCGAAAATTGTTCTCCCAATTAAATTAGACGACTTCTAATTTCTGAACTGGGAACAGTTGAAAGAGAACGAGAAGAAAAGTACTAGTGAGCAACAAGATGCAATGTTACCGCCACATTCATTTCCTTCTCTTGCAAACAGCAGGTAATTCATTACAACGTCTCCATATCTGTCTCTTTAATTCATGTGCATTTGAATTGAAGGATTCTTTTATAACGATTTCTATGATTTGAAACTTTTGAAGTGGACCATTCATCGGAGCAGCCATGAGGGAGGAGGAATCAGCTCAAGCCCATCATGTCTCCTCTTCAATGATGCCGTTGTGGATGATCCGCCATATTAACCAATAAATTAAAAGTACTAAATTAAGGTGTTTGATCCATCCATCTCCAGCTGTACGGACGTCAAGGGTGTTTATAAACTGGGACTGTGTTTATTATCCTGTTCAAGTTTGGATTTGCTGCATGCTACCTACATACATACATACATATATATATATATATATGACCTAATCAAGATTCTGTCATATTCTATATGTGAAAACGCTGAGAATTTGTATTACCAATTTGGAAAATGCATTATGACCTAAATGATGACGATAATAATCTCTCTGTGTTACTGTGTTTACGCAAAGATGTGGGGTGGAAGTGCATTTGATAGTGTTTAGATGCGATAATATATCAGCATCCCTATCCTCTTGTATGAAAAATGAGTAGTCTTAACGGATATATGTATAGAGAGATTCATATTGGATTCAGATATCGTGTCTATCTACATATAATGGCGTGGATTAGATGTGTTGAATCGGGTTCAAACGAGAACGGTGAACAAATAACGGAACACGAGAACGGTGAAATCAAATGGTGATTTCGTGAGACCTAGTGCATTCATTGTCTTTTTTGTAATCACATTTATTTTCACTACAAAACATGTAATTTAGTTATTTTCGTATTTTTTTATTTTGACATTATAATATTTGTTCTCTTTTAATCCTACATGAACAAACGTATAAAATAATTTTATTATATAGAAGTTATTTAAGGTATTTATTTAAAATTCTAATTTTATATATTTGTGATTTTAATATGATTTAATTTTTTATTTAAAAAATATTTTTCACTTAAAATAAGTGTATCTAGTTTTATACTTTTTTTTAAGTAATATATTTTTAAAATTATATTTTTTTGTCAAAATCATATGTAATTCATAATTAATTAATTTTTTTCAAATGTTTTTTAAATCGTATATGATTTAAAAAATAATTATTTAAATTAAATATTGAAAAAAAAATGATGAAAAAAAATAGAATCACATGTGATGTGTAGCAAAACATATTTAAAATGTATAAGATCACATGTATTTCAAAACATAATTCATAATTTACATATATCACGTATGATGTTGTAAATACTTACATTTCTTTTCTATTATGATTAATATCATATATGAAAGATTGACAAAAATTAACGATTCTTTTTTAGAACAAAAAACATCGATCAATTGTGAATATCACATATAATTTTTGACGAAAATTATAAAAAACTATTAAATAAACTACTTCAATAAAAATAAATATTTTGAATGAAAAACTAAATCACACTAATTTTAAATGTTGTAAAAAAAATAATAATAAAAATAATCATGTTTAAATCATGAAAATTATAAAAAAAAATATGAATAAATACCATAATCAAATTTATTAAATAATCTTTATATAAATAAATGATTTTTCATATATAACTTGTATACATGTCTTTTTGGATGATTTGAAAAAAAAAAATTTATTTAATCCTCCCTATATATATAATTTGTGACATCCAATATGATTCATCTACTTTAATTAAATTTTTTTCTATTATATTGATTTTTTTTTGCATCAATAAAAAATAATTTTTATCACGGTAATTTGAATTTTTTTTAAAAATGTTCAATTTGATATTTGAATTAAAAAAACGATATTTGAAATGAAAGATAGATTTTATTGCATTAATTTTTGGAAAAATAAATAAATTTTAGTTATTTTTCTATAATTATTTTGCAAGTTGGTTCCCCAAAATATGAATCGGTTGCAAGTTGGTTCCCTAAAATGATGATTTTGGAAGTTGGTTCCCCAAAATAGGAATCAGGTGCAAGTTGGTTCCCCAAAATGACGATTTTGAAAGTTGGTTCCCCAAAATAGGAATCAGGTGCAAGTTGGTTCCCCAAAATGACGATTTTGAAAGTTGGTTCCCCAAAATATGAATTAGGTAAAAGTTGGTTGCATTTTGGTGCAATTATCCCTAAAAAATACAACTCATAAAAGTATTTTAATTAATTTTATCCCCCATAAACAGACAAGAAATCTATAAAAATCAAATAATCCCTAATAAAGCATTAACTAATTGTTAACAATGTGTATCAAGTCCTTACACAATATTTTTAAAAATCTGTAGTTCTTTTTTATTTTTTGTTGTTGGTGTTGTTATGTCACATTGCGTTTACAAGTTGATCAAAACGTGTAATAAAAAAAGTAAATGTAATATTTAATTGAAACGGTATATTTAATAGTTGTTCAAATCGTGATATAAGTGTTCCCATGGAAAGGAAAGAGGAGAGAAAGAAAAGAGGAAAATGAGAGACATTTGAAAAATACTCATAATTCCCTCGTCATTTTACCATAATTATAGAAATCATTAATGTAACCCTTGATTTAAGATATTGTATGGTTAATATTGGATCTCACATATGCCACAGAAATACTTGGTTGACCTTTGAATGCAGATTGGGATACGTTTTCTTTGAAGTATATAATAATTATATACGACAAATGAAATCACCATTCCTTCTCATTTTTGGTGGGGTTTTAACTATTGACCTTTTGAAATATTGAATTTTACTGATAATCTGAACACCACTAAATCAAAAATCCTTTTGGTTAGGGATACGTTTGTTCTTTTACATGTGTCTGCATATTAGCTTACGTTCTTTTAAGATTTTACGAATGCAAGAGTGTTTTAACACAAGTTGTTTAAAAATAGACATGACTAAAAATTGGTCTCGTACTAGGTCCAAATTGGTCATGGTCCAAAAAAAAGGCACCCAAATTGGTCACGGTCCAAGAAAGACAGGTCATAACAGTCCTAAGTTCGATTTTAGTCCAAGAAAGACAAGACATAAGCCCATAACAGGTCATACTTGTCCCTGTCCCGATCCCGGCCAAGAAAGACAAGTGATAACCGGGCTAGACCTTGTTTTTTGGGAAATTTTGTAACCAGACTGAAATTGTCAGGCCGTAAAAGATTCCTTGGTGCCGTCTAGACCATGCCGAGTTTGGCCATCTCCATTTAACATCATCTCGTATTCATATCCTTTACTAGCCCATCTTCGAAGGCATACAAGCCCACAACCGACTCTGATGTGCGTGCTCTATAACAATCTTTCAAAGTATGAGTATTTAAAAACTCAACCAATGCGGAAAATCCAATCCAACCCAATGCAAAATAATTCAATCTGAAGTAACTCGATGTTTAATTGAGTTGTAATACCTTCAACCCGATCGACACAACCTATGAGCACCCCTAGTTCAAAGAAGTTAACGATCCTTGGGAAGCAGCCATAACAACCAATTCCATAAATCCAAAAGAAGCACAAGACTGGACCTATACAGAAGCATACGATGACACACATTACCATTTCATGGTTCCTTTGTAAGGGAAAAAAATAATGTTTTTAAAGGATGTCACCTTATAGTTCTGTTAGGTGCCTTTTTGTTTTCTTTTGAAACTGAACTCTTGACACAAGTCTTTAATGCCTCCGTTGTTAAACGTTGTTACCTTTGTACAAAAGATCTGGGTTCGAATCCAATTTTGTCACAATTCTTAATTTTCAGCTTATATTTGGTGTTATTTTATTTACCTCGGGTGTTCTTAAAGAAATCTGTAGACGGGTTTCTTTAGATTTCTATTTATAGTCGAATTGTCCTGATACTTAGAAAAAAATTCTAGATTCACCTATGAATGAAAAAAAGATCTTTCAACACTTCACAAATGAATCTACTTTTTTGATGTATGATATAAAGAGCCTCAATCGGATTCAAGGACGGACCACTTATGATATAATAAGAATATTAGAGAGAGATCTACCACATTTATGATGATCAACAGACGTTTCTGCATCTTCTTAAAGACAAATGCTGAACAATGTTAAAGTACAACATTAAGGACTGAAGACAACAGAAAGCTATTTGTGCTAGATATGTATATCTACATAGTATCAGTATCAATCAACTATGTAACATTATCTTAATTCTGTCTATATAACACAACAGGAGTCTCTTTTCTTGGTTCAACAGTCACAGATTCCACCATCAGGGAGATCTTCCCTACAATCACAAAGAAATGGTTCAGCACACAGTTTCTTGTTACGATATAGTATCGAAATGGCTTATTTACTAGACAACGCCCCAAAAGAAGCATTAGAAAAAACCCAAATTTATCAAACATTCCAAGAAGATACTAGAACCCCAAATGAACTATCACCCGAAATGGCAACAGACCAGAGAAAAACTTTTTATCACCAAGCAACTGATGATACATTGACTTTAGTGGTCAAATAGGTCATGACTCGAATGTAAAGAAGGGTATAAGATATATATATATATATATATATATATATATGTGTGTGTGTGTGTGTGTGTGTGTACCTTAGCCTCTCACAAAGGCGGACCAAAGCATCAGAACCAGTTCGATATGCAACATCTTCAATCATAGAAGCATTCCATGGTGTCACACAGTCTGCAAGCCTAAACTCACACAACTCCTTCAAAGAACAAGCATCTGTCAGTACAGCAGAATGGCCTCCACCAGCTGCCAGCTTTCTTACTTCTCCAACACACCTGTTTCCAACAATGCTTCTATCAGAATACAGTTTCAAACTCCAAAAAGATTATGGCATCAGCTTACAGGTCAAGATCAGGGTCAAAGGAGAGAGAGAGAGAGAGGGGTTGTATACCAGTCAACAGGAGATGGGTACCAAGCATAAGTGCACTTCTGATTAGCTGCTTGGCCATAGCTATTATAACCCCATCCATGGATTCTACCATCTTGAGTGCAGACTAGCGTATGACAATGTCCACATGCAACCTGTTTTACACCAGATGGTAGAACCAAAACAGGCATGTTACGGAAAATGCCTCCAGATTCACTAGCGACACATGAAAAGAATCCGGTCTGCGGGCCAAGTCCTAGCTGGCCAGCTTGACCACCACCCCATGCATATAGAGCTCCTTTTGTAGTCACGGCACACGTGTGCACACCACCTGATGCAACATCTTTCACGAATATCCCATTAAGTGCAACCACACGCCGTGGTATCAGCTCCTTATCACCTGATTGAAGAGAATAATGCCCAAGCTGACCCATGTTTCCCAATCCCCAAGTGTAGCTGCAATAAATTAGAATTACAAGTTCAAAAATGAGAATCAGAGAGTGAAATACAACCATTCTCCCCAAAAAAGAGTCCACTTCTGACCTTTGATATAGTCAAATGAGTTGCTATTTAACTTCAACATCAGCTATGCTTATTTTCTAAGTGATTAGCATTTCAATCCATTATATCTGGTACTTTTTTTTTAAACAAACCACTTACTTGCTAGAACACAAAAAGTAAATAAACAAAATCACAAAAAAAAAAAAAACTCAAAACAAATTACTCCAATTGCCAACTAAGTGTTATTATGCTGTTTTTTAGTCATTATGGTGATTCTTCACCCGCTTTATGCTAATCAGAGTGTCTTCTTTTACATCCTGTTCTTTGTTTAAAGACAAAAGGTCAGGGTGTGATATGCTGATCTATCATTATTATTTTCTTGGACTGAAAACATTTGATGATTACAAATAATATATAGGATGTAACCAATTAAAGAATTAAAAGATGATTGCTCCAAATTTGGATTTGTAAAAAGATTAGGTGCAAGTCTCTAGAACCAAAATAAGTGGATTCTTTTCTGGAGAGAAAATGGAGGAATTGTAAGAACCAAATAGCAAAAAGAAAGAAAATGGCTAGGTTGTGATCAAAATATGACTAGATGTGAGGTTGCCTTGATATAGCTTGTGACCTCCAAGCAAAATCCGCTTGTGTCTAGACCCTATCTTCATCAACAAAAGGTCCATTTCTAATGCACTTACACCTCTCCATCCTCTGATATGGCTGCCGAATGGTACTCGCCACATGAAACTTGAGTAATCTTTACAAGCTCAGGGGCTTCCTCAAGAAACTTAGCATATGCATTTATAACACGAGCCTTCTGAAGGCCTTCACAAGTAACACCTCTCCCAAGCTGACCATATTCATTGTAGCCTAGTTTATCACAGTGTAATAACTTTCACATGTACATATATTTCAAAGAGAATTAACAATCAGAAGTTAAAAAAAGTTAAAGGTATTTATACCCCAAGCTTGCAGCAGACCATCCTCTGATAGTGCCACAACATGCACAGCCCCACATGACACTTGACGAATAATCTGAATCGTTTAATATATATCTCAGAATGCAGTATTAAAGTATTATAACGCATTCATGTTTGTCAAGATGTCACGACATAATGATAAGACAAACATAATGTTAAATATATTCTTACTGTATTAGGAGAAAAGGCACCCCAGAATACACGAGGATAGTTAGATCCCTGAAAAATATTTAAGGAAATTGAGTTACAATTTACGAACACAACAAAAAGAATGATAATAGAGTGATTGAGATTTTGAACAATTTTTGTTGCATATTAACCACCATCATCACCAAAATGCTAAAAGATGGTGGTTTTTGCAATTTTGCAAAAACGATGATCGATTCGTCATGAAAAGTCCTTGTTTGAACAGTCATTCACTCAATGGTTATGTGATCCATCTAAATAGTTAGGAAGAACACGGACCTGATTTTGTCCCCAAACCCAAAGTCTTCTAGTAGAGATTGTTCCATCGTTGTCACGTGGCTCTGCAATAGCAGCAGTACAATGTGCTCCACAAGACACGGATATCACATGCTCATTTTGCAATTGCTTCAGTTTTTTAGGATGTTTTCTACTTGTTTCAGTGCCATCTCCCAACTGACCAAACTCATTTGCCCCTGAACAACATATGACCATAATTAAGCCAAGTCTACCACAAATCAATGTCTAACTGAATTCTTTGATAAGAACGCAAAAATGACTATTGGATAACACTTCAACGGAAGGGGTGGGAATAATCTGACCCCAAATAAAGAGGGACCCATCAGAGGCCACGGCTGCAGTATGTTCTCGACCACAAGCCAAATCCAACCAGCGTGAATTGGCTCCGGCTGGACACCCAAAAAGGTCTGGTGGAAGCTGTTTTGGGATCCTCAAGTTCTGCTCTTTACATTTTCGACCAGTTTGTCCAGATTGATTATAACCCCAAACATAAAGTGCACTTTTGGTTGGGGCGAGCACAGGTCGCGTTTCTCCAAATATTTCATCAATAGCCATTTACTCACACCCTCTGATAAACCTAACCATGAAGAGAAATCAGTATGCCCTTTGATTTTACAATCAAGAATTACCCAATATCCCTCTTTCACAACCTCAAGAATATGTATTCCCATTTTCTTGTCAATTGGAATCAAATCAAACCAAAAATACGAAGAAAAACCTAAAACCCAAAATAACACTTGAAAAAGATCAAAATATCAACCAATCGTCCCCAAAAAAGATGGGTATTACCTCCAAGGGTTTCACCGTAAATATCTCAAGCTTTCTTAATCCAACAAGAAACCAGTAAAGAACCCTAAATTGGGCTCGATCAAGATGAAATCTGAACCAAGAGAAATCAAATTACTTTTGGTAATTGATTAATGACGGAAAAGTAAACAAGTGGCAAGCTATTTCACCTTGGATTTCTTGAAGAATCTTAAAGAAAATCTTGAAGAAGAGCAATTAAATGCGTAAGTTGCAGATTATATAAGCAAGAGGAACGAAATTACCTTTGGCAGGGGAAGATCAATTGTGGATACGATTTGATCTTTCGAACAAAAATAGAAATAGTTGGGTTGTCGTAGATTGATTGTTGAAGCTCCGAGGACCTTGGGGAATAAACGGTTTAATGGATTCGGTGTTCTTGTCACTGATCGGAAAAATGTGTGCCGTTCGACTCCATAGAATCTCCGAGACCCCCTTTGGATTTGATCATATTTAAATTCACCCCTCCCTATTATACTTTCATTTTAACCCCTTCATATTATATATTACTACCACTTCAGCCCCTCCTTTTTCTTAAACCAATCAAAACAAGTCATAATAAATCAATTTAACACAACTTAATCAGCAACGTACATCAATGAATACAACATGGTTTTTTTTAAATGTTTATGTTGTATATTTTCCATTTTATCTATGAATCGTCGTTTTATGATATTTTCCTATATAGAAGAATTGTTGTGAATTGATTTCATATTAAAGAAAGAATCGAGACAACTCTCTCTAAGGAACTCGGCAAAATAGCCTCTGTAACTTCAGCAGAAGGGGTGCCCCTACCTTCTTTCACTCTATCTCGAAGAGTAACTAGGACCAATTTAGTAAAAAGGGTTTATTTTCTATTTTTTTTTCTAAATTTAGAAAAAGGATTAAAAAGAGCCCATTCATGGAGATCGTTTAAAGTATAATATCAAAGTGTTAAGCATGTCATCAACGTTCATTTTGAGTAAGGATCGAACTCTCCATAAGATTCATAGCTGTGATCAAGGGTTCAAGTTCATGGGTCTCATTCTTTTTATTATTATTATTATTATTGCTAACCTTTCTTCCCATTTTGTGCATCTTTATTGTATATGTGCAACTTTTTTTATTACTAATAATCCTTTCTTCTCATGTTGTGCATGTTTGTTATAAATAATTTTTAAATGTACAAGACATTAGAAATAGATTGGTGGTTTTTATGAAATTAGTCCCTAAATTTCATTTATTACAGAAGGACTCATCATATGTATTTTGTAACGAACCAACATATGATGAGTCATGTTTATGCAATAAATGAGGTATAGGGATTAATTTTGCAAGAATCACCAAACTACAAAGTCCAAATCCTTAATCAACTCTAAAAATTTATTAGTAGATCATTTTCGAAAAAACATAAAAAAGAAAATCGGATGATCTTATATTGCTATATTTTGTGGGTTTCGAATATTTATAATATTATTATTTGTCCCCCAAGGGATTCGATATTCGTGTTCCGCCACAGGAACCCCCCCCCCCCCCCCCCGGGGAAGTATTTGATACATATGTTTGTTAATAACTGTTGCTAGGGGTGCTAAAGAACTCGACTAATCAGCAACTCAACACGAAATAACCTAACTTGAAACAACCCGATGTCTAATCAAGTTATAAAATTTTCAAACTGTATGTATTGAGTTGGAATAGGGTTACGGTGATTTGAACCCAATTTTCTACTTCTTTTTCCACCAATCTGATATCCTTTTATTTTTTTAGATTTAATATCATTGTTAAGTTTGTGCTAATATGTACATTAGACAATTACATTATCACGTACTTATAAGGAGTATGGATAAGTTTATAAGAAAGAGTATGGAATTAAGCTATACCAACAGATTGATTGATGATGGGGAATAAAAATTATAAGCAGAGAAAACTACATATTCAAGGTAACATGAATATTTTGATGTATCAAATTATCAACCCGACCAATTCGTATGATTTAAGTTGGGTTGGATTACACTTTTGTTTAAATTAAATTGTTAAAATGTCTTCGATCTAATTAACCTAACCCTAAACACCCCTACCTGATTCAGTAAATAAGATCCATCATATAAATTTTTACGTAGGAGATTATAAATTTTATCGGTTCAAGTTAACCCCTTTTACTTTACACTAGTGCCATTTCAGCCCCTATATTTTTTGGAGCCAATTTGGTCATCGATCGTCATCCATGACCATGATGGTGATAGGTGGTTGACAATAAAAGTCAAACACACGCGTTCCCTGAATAACAAATGGAAACCCAAATGGCGGATTCATACTTGGCTTCAGTTGACGTATTTATACCCACAACGGAACCTGTTCCATGTTCGTCCTCCATTCAACAACTTTCAAGTCCAGAAGTTTCGAGGTCAGTGTTTTGACAAAGGTATCATCATCAGATTTTTTTTTAAAAATCTTCACAGTAATCGATTAAATATATGAGCTTCATGATCAGATGATAACCTTTATTGTTCAATTTTGATGGCTTACTGAAAACGTTGATTCTTCGTTTGAAATGTGTGAAAATGCAAAGCGGGTGGAATCGTTTTTATGTCAATATGTTTGGGTGGGGAAACTTTTAGACGAAGCATAAAAAAGACAGTTGCAATTTCGTCTTCAACTCGCTCTAATTGTTCCTAATTTAGTGTATTGACGAAGAACCGCTTGATGAAACTTCAGTTTAGGGGAAATTTGTAATGAAATTGAGACGTTAAACTATATGACAACTACTATGAATACAAAATTATTGGTATTTTGTGGCTCGATCTATATTAAACCATAAATTTGGTATCGAACTAGGTTTGAATTCAGCAAGTCTATGATCATCATTTTGGAAAGAAGTCGGTGCTTGATTTGCTACTTGGTATTTTCATGATCAAATTGTGTGATATATCAGTTGTCCATGAGCTAATCTATGATCTATCTCGATATTCTACTCGATTTGAATTGTTACAATACAATCCCTATAAATGTTCTAACAATCACCATGAGTTCATGATGCAATTATCAAGTGTAAATCGACAAGACATATGTGAAAACTATGAAATAGATATAGAAAAATGAATTGGTAATAAATCATGCAAATGATCGATAATATCATGTCCAGAAATACTGCAGATACACCAAGTTAATGGCTCAATCAGCAAGTAATGCCGGGAAGAAGCTCATCAAAATTGATGTGACTTCAGATAGTGTGTGTCCATGGTGTTTTGTGGGCAAAAAGAATCTAGACAAAGCTGTAGCTTTATCAAAAGATCAATACAATTTTGAGGTTCCAATTCTCTCCCTTCTTCCCGGCTTGAAGCTTTGTTGTTCTGTTTTATTTCAGTCTTCTGTTTCTGCAGATTAAATGGCACCCATTTTTACTGAACCCTTCTGCCCCTAAAGAAGGGATTAACAAGAAAGATTACTACAGAAGCAAGTTTGGTTCTCGGGCTGATCAAATGCATGCTCGTATGTCTGAGGTAGCTCGCTTTACTTTCATCTATTCGCTTTTTAGTTTTTGATCTCTGGGGTGTTTGTAATCAACACTATAGAAATGCAGGTTTTTAAGGGACATGGATTGGAATACGACTTGTCAGGCCTCACGTAAGTTGATTTTTTACTTTTTTTAGATGTCGGCTCGTGCTTATAAGCCAATTCCTTTGTCGCCCACAACATTCTTAAACTATAAAGACTGGCTGCAAAATCTGCATCTGAATAGCCTATTGGCTTAAAATTTGAATCTTTAAGACACCAAGTTGGGTGCTCCTTTGGGATGCCTAAAGATCCTTTTGACAGTTGTCAGGTTACACCACCTAGAATTGATTTACTTCAAGAAACTCACTAATGGTGATTCTGGTAATCAGGGGAAGTTCCCTGGACAGCCACAGGCTCATACTTTTTGCTGGAAAACAAGGGTCTGATAAGCAGCATACTCTTGTGGAAGAGCTCTTCAATGGGTACTTCACACAGGGGAAGTTTATAGGCGACAGGTATGTTCAATTGAGCTTTTTCCCTTTGGGATCGTATTTTTCAATGCTCATTATACGAAAAAGATGGATTATTTTTTAAAAGGAATGTGTACCAAATTGACAGACAAATCTGAATCCAGGGACTTTCTTCTGGAATCTGCAAGGAAAGTTGGGTTAGAAGGAGCAGCTGAGTTTCTTGATGATCCAAACAACGGACTTCAGGAGGTACGCGTATGCTTCCTCAACTTTATGAAAATTAGAAGCAGATAACGAACTTAATGGTGTTGTTATTAATTCTTTGAAGGTAAACGAAGAACTTGGGAAATACTCGACCAACATTTCGGGTGTCCCTCACTACGTGGTAGGGCTATATTGGGAAATTATTTACTGCAACTTTCGGTTGAATTACAGGCTAACTCAATGGGGGTTTTATCGCAGATTAATGGAATGCATCAGCTGAGCGGTGGCCAACCCGCAGAAGTATTCCTCAGAGCTTTTCAAGTGGTTGCAAATTGAGCGATTTCATCTAGAAATTACTACTTATAGAAGTGTACTTGAGTTGTTCTTATACGTTAAATACATATATTATGTGTGTCTAATAATATATCACTCTCCCCTTGAGTGTTGTCTGATTTGTTTTTATACATTGGTGTATAGCATCTTTCTGGAGCCTGCAAACTTGGAATAAATTTCTGCTTCTACTACTCTTGATCTGGATAAGTCAGCACCTTAACAAACACCACCTTATTCATTTTGGAACACCATGCAAATGAACAAAAAACAGATAAAAATGAACATAAGAGCTTTCCCCTGTAATGAGCATCTATTTTCTGTATGAATCCAAGAATTTTCCTCAATTGTTGGAACATCTCTGAAGGGAACATGAGAAATTATAACCAGTAAAAATCAATATTTATCACAAGAAAATGCAGCTTGTGATGGAGCTTATATCGACCAATTTTCCGTTTTTTTTACATGATAACAGTGGATATTCACAAAGAATTTACAAGCTGTTTTCTTGGTTTCTTTTGCCGTCTTGAATTCTTTTTGGGTCTCATTCACAGCAGAAACACCTTCGGGTTAAGCCTCAACAGCCTCGTCAAATGCCATCACCTACAAGAGTCAAAACATCCAAAATTGTTGTCATGAGACCACCACCATGCTAAAGCAAAACTAAGCAAACTGAAATATTCATTGGTCTAAAGGGAGTCTAATCTGATGGGTATGAATCCCATTTATTTTAATAGACCTTGTTAGGTCTGAGGAGGGAAGTCTTTTACGCAGCCTTTCTTTTACATTTTGTGAAAGGGGTTGTTTCCATGACTTCTGGTCAGGAAGGATTAAGGAACCTTACTTTTTTTTAGGTATATAATATTTATGTACAGAAAAACTCACACACACTCGTCACCTTTGGTGAGCCTTGAACCCTTGACCTCCAGAGAGGCCGAGCTCTACTAGTAACCTGGGTACTGCAGGGCCAACGACCCGTTGGTAAGGAACCTTACTTTCTTGCCATCATATTTATGTTCAAGGCACAGATTATCATCTTCTCAGGTTATGCTAAAATGTGACATTATATGTTCCATGGCACTTTTTTAAAGTATCGAGAAATGTGGGATATCATGCTAATCAGCACAAGCCCCCAATGCCCAAAGGCAATAAAAGAAGCATATTTCATTTTCACATGGATAAAGTTTTGAAAGGAGCTGATGTATGAAAGAATTAAGTAATGTTGTGGGTCTCATCTATATGATGGGAGAAAATAAATGTACATGTGATTGTGGGTTCCATTTACTTGATATTGTAGGGAACTAATAAAATGCGTGTAAATGAATATAACATAGGTCCCTTTGTAGTCATAAGGTGATATGAGTGAAAGCCAGCAGATGAACACACATTATGAAACCTTACCTTGCCACAAACTGGGCAGCTTTCACTTCTTTCCATCCACTCATATATGCAACCAAGGTGAAAATGATGTGCACACTTCGTAACTATCTTAGGATTTTCTGTAGTATATTCTGCAAACAGAAAATGATGACAATCAATGCCCCAAAGTGTTGATCTATCGTATGAGATCCACTATGTGTAACTATCAAGAATCTTGACTAGTGCAGGATGGTGATAATTTGCAGTTAGTGATCCCAGTTCAAGACTGTCAATTGACATGAAAGCCCGGGAATTGCTTTTAGTTTTGAATGAAATGACCAATGAAAACAATTAGTCCCTCCATTTCACGAAAACGAAAGTGTTAAGACTATTAGTCAAATGTCATAAATACCCTGCAATAATATGGAAATCTGGTAGACCGTTACAAAAAAAAATGTTGCAATCTTCATGGGAAATAAGGAGTGACCAATGAAGCATATTCATGGTCCAAATCACAAGATTGTTCAAAAGTTCAAAAATAGAAGTGTACATGGAGCGAACTTATTGATATTAGAAGTATGAGGGCATAACTGTTAAAGTAATTATAGGCAAAGAGAACTCAACAGATAGCAACATTTTAAAATTTACCTTCAAGACATGTTGGACAAACATCTTCATCTTCTGATGAAGAAAATATATGTGCAAATCCAGTTGTCTCTTTTGGGGTTGAAAGCTTCAGAGACGCCTTTATCTGTGAGCCTTTTGTTCCATCTTCACAGGTTGAGCTATTCCATTTGTTTCCGGCACATAAAGGATCTGTATCAGTATCACTATCACTTCCTCTTAATGGTTCACCTTCCTCCTGTGAGCGACTTGAACCTTTCTCCCTTCTTGAGACCAGTCCATCTCTTTGAAGACGAATATACCTAGGATCAACATCATAAGGCAAGGGTCTTGGAGGAGAACGATACACCCCAGATAGAGAGTTGTCAAGTGAGGCTGAGGAACTAAAAGATGTTGTCCCTTGAATGGATGAAGGGCTCGGAAGCCTGGCATGTTCTTCCCCTCTTTGAAATAACGATGTGTACTATTCAAAGAAAAGCATAGAACAAGTTGTAATTATCTTCATCGGTATTAAAGAAAAGCTAATTTATCAGCAAAAGTCTTAAAGAATAATATGAATATAAGAGCATGTTTTCTCTCCAACATCTTCAATGTATTCATTCAACCTCTTTGAATCATCTGAACTAACATGGTATCAGAGCCAAGGTCTAGCACCTTAGGGACTAACACTCCTGGGACAATTTGTGCCCTTCTAGCCTCCATTGGAGTGGGTGTATTGGAGTCCCACATCGGCTGGACTTATACCATTTTTCTTCAGTGTATGTTGGAAGTTGGAACCCCCTTCTCTCCTCAAGGGCTCTTTTGAAGAGTAATCTAATTGTGTTCCACATATTCTCGAAATATAATTTTCTTCATGTGTATTATAGAAAACCTAATCAATCAGCAAAACTCTTCAAGAATGATATGAATTATGATGAGTTGCAAAATGAAATTCGAGTGATTGAAGTTACATCAAAACTACATGCATTGCTCTTTAAATCACAAGAATGCATAGAAAGAAAATCAAGAAACATTAGACGACTACTAAGAGCATACCATATATAAGAAATTCTGAAGAAAGCATCGAAGACAAATGCAGTTCCGGTATATCGAACTGTTGGGATTAACATAATCTTCACACTCATCACGCAAGCAGCAACAAACAGCACCCATAACGATGACCTTAATTCAACTGAATCGTTATGTAACCCTGTACCAGATGCACTAGGAGTATACCCAAAAGTATAAGAGAGGGCTGAATCGCTTATGTAACCCTGTACCAAATGCACTAGGAGTATACCCAAAAAATATAAGAGAGGGCTGAATCGCTTATGTAACCCTGTACCAAATGCACTAGGAGTACACCCAAAAATATAAGAGAGGACTTGAGGCTCGCAGAAATTTCAATGGCTCTGCGAACCAGATAGACCCTCTCTATCTGTCCAATTCACCTCTGTATCTACTCTTTAATACTTCAGGTGGGTACTGAATCAAATGTCCTTAACCACCTGAAATAGAGCATGTACACATTCAGCAAAAACTGTTTCTTTTAAGCAAACATACTCAACATTGCAAAATGAAGCAACAAGAATCAGAACATGTTATTAGTTACATAATTAGCAGTAAATCAACATGGTAATCCCAGCTTATGATTCCTTTAGAAAATTAAAACCATGCTGTTTACAATCATAAAACCCTAAAATCAGAGATGAAAAATAAGCATGGTTTTTTGTGCGATCAAGGGGGCGGCAGACGGAACAGTGGAGTTGATAGAACCACAAAGCAAGCAGGTCAAGAAATTATAAAAAAAAAATGACCTCAATTCCCTAAAAGACTTTACCCAGGTTGTGTATGAAACAAGTAACTTATTTCAAACCAAAAGTCAATTATAAATGAACGGATTTTCAATTGTATTCAAAGTCGTGCAATCAAATTCAAGAATCAAACGAACCCCTACCCAGATTGTGAATTCTTCAACAACCCATGAAAATCATAAAACCCAATTCGAATCAATCAATTCACAGCGATCAACAGCATCAGAAATCGGCAACGATGAGGGATGATGGAAGAACCAAGAGATTAGGGTACCTTAAGACAGTGGGAGGGGTTGATGATTATGTTTGCAAAGATGGACAGAATACCTGAAAATTTGAAGTTTGATGTTTGAGATTCTGTTGTTTATTTATCATACGGGAAATTCTGGGAGTATTTTTGTTGGATTTTTCGGCGAGAACACGCGGTCTTCTTGTTCATGGTGGGTGGCAAGTTATAATTGAGAAAGTATGGGTCATTTTGTGTTAATTTTGTAAAATATGGTTTCAAATATTGCAATTACACCCTCGAAAAATACGAATATCACCGCTCCAAGTCCCTGTAATAAATCACATCTTAAAATATATAATACTCAATAATATTTTAATATTTTATGAATTACTTTCCAAAATACCATTTTTGTTACGAATAAAAATAATATTAAAATTAAGTAGTTTTTATATGCATCTTTATTAAAAAAATGTACTTAACCCCAAAAATATAATAAAATATAATTTAGTAAATATACAATCATATAACCCCTAAAACCAGCTAATTTGTTATGTATTTATTTTATAATATAAATTTTATTATTTATAGTACAGGGATCTTTTTAATCTTTTTAGATCGTGACATCCCTAATAAACAGTGTATTTATGTGTTATTTCATATGAATTTTTTTATATATGGCTATAATCTATTTTTTTTTTTACAAAAGATTAGCATATATTTGTTTCACATATAACTCGGTTCATAATGTGAACTTTTTTATATGTTTTGTGAAACAAGATGTATAAATTAAAAGGTTTTACAATGTGAATTGAATACATATGAACTAGACATGTTGTAAAACAAATATATGTTAATCAATACATTAACTACTATATTTTGTTAACTAGTGTATTTTCGTCTCTTTCATATATTGATATTACATTCCTTATACATATCATTTGCTTAATTATCAAATTTCTTAATTATCTCATATACTTTGTTTAAACTTTCTTAATTATCTTATTCACTTTCTGGTTTCACCTATGAACTTTGGTAAAAAGAAATTGAACAATCAATGTTCATACACGAAACAACATTATGGACTTTGAACAAAAACCATTGTTTCACTACGAACTTTAAACAAAAATTATTATTTCGTTTATGAACTTTTTGGTTTCACGTGTGAACATCGATGAATTTTTTTTGAAACAATTGAAGTTCATATATGAAACAACACTATGAACTTTAAACAAACACTATATGAAACATAATTATATTCCAAAAAAAAAACATCTTGTTTCAAAATTGCCTTCCATTTAATTCAAAAAAACTTTTCATTTGTCATTGTTTTATAACTTCTCATTTGATCATAACCGTTGATAAAAAATGAACAATTCAAATGAGTTTGTAAAGCTAAAACTATTTATTTGATTAATAAATGACTATGTGTGTGTGTGTATGTATGTATGTATGTATGTATGTAGACAAATAATCGTGTGAGAATAAAAGTTAAGTTGATAAGTGAAATAATAGATCTAGACACTTAATCATTTTTTATCTCACAACCACCCCATCAATTGTGCTTATTACGTAAACTGGTTTGGTCCATCTCGACGTTGCATTCGTGTTGATCTTCACTTAGAATTGATCAAATGATGAAAATATCTTTTCTTACCCTTCTCATCAAACTTTCGTTATCACTGGAACTCAATTATATATATATATATATATATATATAGGCAGGTTCAAATRAAAACCATGTCATTCTAAAAAACCGTGTAAACCAAAATTGACCAATAGGAAAATTTCATTCTTTTTAATTAAATTTAATCAATAAGGTCATTTTGGTCATTTTCATTATTTTTTTCATAAATAAGGAAGTTATTAAGGAATATTAAATAAAGAAATTTAATAATGGAAATTATATAAATGGAATGATTTAAAGATTTTAATATTTTATAATATTAAAATTTGATTTTTTTTTATTTAATGAAGCTGGAAACATTCATGAAGATTTTATCTTGTTATGTAATGAATAAATGATTTGAGGTTCATTGTATAAAAAATTACCGGTTATGAACCTGTTTCATATGAAAAGGTTTTAAAATGAAAAGGTTTCATATTACAATAGCATAATATATTAATGTTCATATGAAAAGGTTTTAAAATGAAAAGGTTTCATATTACCATAGCATAATATATTAATGTTCATATGAAAAGGTTTCATTACGAAGAAACAGTTGCATATTATATTAAATGCATAATGAAAAGGTTTCATCATAATGAAACGGATTCATAATATATTTCATTTTTTATGCAATTAATGTTCATATCAGAAGGTTTCATTATAAAATGTTTTATTTGCTTCTTTTATTTATATTGTACATGTTCATGTACTTCCAGGTCATGATGATGAAACATATTCATGTTCAAGTTTTAATGTATATTCATGTTTGGGTTAGTGAAAATGAAACGGGTTCATGATGTAATTGACCGGTTAATCATTAACCGCTTTAAAACTTGAAAAATGATGGTGGAGGTGAATGGTTTAATAGATGAAATGGGTGCATAATATATTTTATTCTCTATGCAATTAATGTTCATATGAGACGGTTTCATTAATATATGGTTTATTGGCTTTTTTTATTCATGATGAAACATGTTCATGCACTCGTTTCATGGTGATCCATGTTGTATTGTGTGTGATGATGATCCGTTTATTCGGATACTTGACAATGAAACGAGTTCATTTACAATTGGTTAATGATTGTTGAACTCGTTTCATGGCCAACCACGTTGTAGAATTACGTAGGGGGTCCATTCARTGGATRTAACGTGTTAATGATAATGAAACGGGTTCATAATGTAATTGAACAGTTAGTCATGAACCGCTTTAAGACATGAACAATGATGCTGTAGGTGAATGGTTAAGTTGATGAAATGGTAAATGAAACAGGTGCATAGACAAAATCGATTCATCATTGCAAAAAATGGATGA